GTGTCAAGCCTTATTTCAAGAAAGGTGATGGTAAAATTCCCACTGACTGTGAGGAAAGTGAGGTTTGGCCCTTGGTGAGCAATAAAAGCTCTGTGAAGCCCGGGGGTGGGAGTTCCCTCTGGCTCCTGTGGGGCTGACATGTGCCGCCAAGGTTTGCTCGCACCCCATGCCTGCATGCCTCTTCCAGCTCCGAGATTTAGGGGCCTCTGTGGAAAAGCCTCCACATTGTACTGCATGATATACTCAGCCACTTTTAATCACACTGGCTCATGGCTTCAAAAAGAACAGCCCTGCTGCCATTGAACGAAACTAAGGAATTATTAGCTTCCTTTGTTTTATTTACCTGACTATTTGAAAAGCTTCAAAAAAGCTGTTGGTGGTGGCAGTCATCTTCAGGTGAAGAAATAAGCCCTCCTTCCTGGGGAGTGCTCCAGGATTAGGCACCTCTGTCCCTTTCAGGCCGTGGAACTGCTGCAGGAAAGATCGCCCTTGTCCTCAGCTGTGAGGACGACACAGCCCTCCTGTGAGGCTGACACAGCCCTCCTGGCACCTTGTCTGGCCACTCACTAGATTTGGAACACAGGAGAGAGAGCAGGAGAGCAGAAGCACAGATGTCCAGATATATAAGAGGTCTGTCTGTCTCTGGAGAATCTGCCACTTCATGGCATTTCTGGTGTTTTTTGAGACCGTTTCAGCACCCCATGCGTGATGGAAGGACTTTGCTTTTGAGATAATGAAGCTGCCCGAGCCTGTGCAATGTCTGAGGCTCCCTAGAAATCATAAAGTAGGAATTTCTGTTCCTTGTTCCCTGAGATGCTTCATCATGTATGATCCATAGCAGTTGGGATGAGTTAGAACCATTTCAAACACTTTGTTGAAGGAAATGCCCCGGTTCCTTTACTGATGCTGTCCTGGCCATGGTCAGCATGTCTTCTCCCTGCTCCTCCTATCCCAGCTCCACCTGCAGAACAAAGTAATGCAATAGGAAAGTCCCTGGCAGCAGTAGGTGAAAGCAAGAGGCCCGAGCAAGCTGGAGTAGGTCGCAGAAAGCAGGGAAGAGGTTGATGTGGGCATTGTGGGCTCTCAGTTCATCCTGGCTTGCAGAGCTCCACCAGTTGCTGGCCACAGGCAGGGCTGTCCTGGCTGCCACACCCTTTCTGCAGACCTCCAGGTAGCATCTACTGCCAGCTTTGGACAGTGGAGACCATCTTTTTTTCCCAGATTTTCTCAGGAATTAGGACATGGTCAGAAATTGGGACACAGGCAACAATGAAGTGTCAGTGAAAGAAGAAGACCCCTGTTTCTGTACCTCTTATCTCTACTGCAGAGAGTTTTTGTTCCCTTGAATTAATGTCTGCCATTGCCATAAAACTGACAGTTTCTCCATTTGTTTTCCAAGAGATTCTTTAGTGCTGCTAATATTTCACTGGCATGGAATAAGTCAATGTTTTAATCTTGTACCTGACGAATTCTGGAATATGCAGGGGAGATATGCATGGTTTTACCTACAATTCATAATGTTTGAAATTCAGTTTAAGTCACCAGGAGAAATAAATGTCATGATCCAGAGAGATGATATACAAACACCACTATAGTACATGATACATTCCCCTGGTGTTAACATCATCCAGCTTGCAAGATGAAGAGCAGATAAATCGATCAATACTTGGTTTAAATCTACTGTGGGGACAATAGTGTAGAAAGACTGATGCTTGACGAGCAAATTCCATGGTGCCTTTCACTGCTTTCCACATTTACTCTCATTGTTTCCTTGTGAAGAAAGACATGAGTGAAATAACATTCACACATGAAAAGAGGACCTGTGCCTCTCCGGCTCGTTTGAAAATCGTAGTCTATATAACAAACATTTTGTAAATGCTCAAGAGAGGGAGGTAATACCATATAGCTACATTTTCTTGTATTGGTAAGTGTGGAATAGTTGGTAAAAAGGTAAAATTTTTACCAATAATAACCAATTTTTACCAAAAATAACCAATTTTTGCTAGTTGTGCTATTGATCCTGGTCCCCTCTCTGTAACTCATCTGCCCTTTTGGTTCATATGTAACAGTGAATAATTTATATTCTGAGATTTTTCTTTTGATTCTTCATGGGTCTGATGTTTCAGTCTTAGCATATATGTCCTATTTGTGTGAGAATACTCAACATAGTTGCCATAGACATATACTGACAACTTCACTTTCCAACCAGAACAGAAAATCTGGTAATGTTGAATATTGTTTTGGATGTAAGTCATCGTAACTCTTAGAGCTCCGGATAGAAAAGCTGCAAAAAAGGCTCTAATAGGCAGCCTGCGAGAACAAGACAGTGTGACAAGAAGAAGAGTGACTGAGACTCAGAAAGATTTTTCTGTATGTTGGCAAAACTATCTCAGCAGAAATCCATTGCTTCCATTATTATGGATCTTACAAAATTCTGTAAAGAAGCTTGGAATCAGATCAGCAGTTTACTTGGTGTTGTGTAAATCCTTGGCTGCTACACTCAGGCAGAAGAAGTCAGTCAGGATTCCAACCATCTGGAAATGTGACAACATAAAGGAAAATATCTTCCAATTTAATTTGAGGATAAAGTTTTTTCAGTAACTTAAGAATATGGGGAGAAATTTCCCAATGGCAGTTGTCAGACACATTTTAAATGTCACCTTTCAAAATTCTTTAAAGACTACGAAAAACACCCTGAAAATAAATACCTTCTCTGCCATGGAGCCTGTTGACAGTCTACTTTTTTTTACTTAATGAAGTAAACTGCTTTCAGTTCTGCACACCTTGAGGTAGGGTGTGTTATATAGGTTATACAGGTATTTCCTTTCACCCTACATAGTTGATCCCACAAATACTTCTATGTTGATTTGAACACAAAAAATGAACTCCCAATTGAAGAATAGTTTTGGGTGTGGAAAAAATGTCCCCAGGGAATTGGATAGAACACACTGAATTATTAACCCCTGCCTTTGGCAAGCATATGAAAAATGTTAAAGTGTTGGGATCAGTGATATTTTCAGGAAACTTGCAGTGCAGCATGCTGTATTGAGAGATAGCTAGTAGACATGCCACTGTTTCATGGGGAGCATTGTACTGCACATTACTGAGACATGACTGTTGTCTTTGGTCTTGGACTTGGCAGTCTTAAGGAGTTTGTGGATAAGGTACTTGCTGGTTGTCAGGGCTTCTTATTGTCAGGGGTTTGGATACATACTATTACAGCCCTATTATCCTCATAATCATAGTGTAGCTTTTTTAATTTAATATTGAAACAACATTTCTTCTGCATTTGTGACTAACAAACGTAAACACAGGCAGCTGAAGCTGCTTGAACATTCAAAGAGGAACCAGGATTTGAAGAGCTACAAAAACTCTAACTGCTTTTAAAAAGCTCCTTATTTGACAACATCAGAAATCTAACTAACTCTTACTCTGATTACCCATTTGGGAGAAACCATTTGGACAAAACTTTAGCTTTATAAGTAGTATATAAATTTTAGGTATTATTATGAAATTTATCATCATTATTATTAATAAGACTTAAATAATGTAAAGAACTTAAAAATATCCAGTTTTATATGTCCAACATGTGACATTTTAAAAGACTTGGCCTTAGGGCAATTGCTTAGTGCTTCAAAATCTTGGCCCCAGTTTCCTCCCAACCCTGAGTTTGAGTCATATCAACAATATATGGTAACTCTTGCAGCTTCTTCAAAGAGAAAGCCTTGGCCCAAAGGAATTTGTGACTCTGAATCATAGTAAATAGTTTGTGAAGCTGAAAGATGAATCCATATCCTTCATCAGTTATAATCACGTTCTTCATCATGGAGTTTGCTTCAGTGCCAAAAAAGATGTTGTGTTTCTCTCCAGACACAGGGAAAGGTAATGATTTGCCCAGAAAATGTACAGCATACACAGAGAAAGACAGATGTGGGGTGGAGGAAAAAGACAGCACACAAAGTGATCAGGACAAGTATAGACTCATGACATAACAGCTGCCACTTTGTTGTGAAAAAAAAAATGTAAATTCCCCTTCTCAGTCCTTAATTTTTACTAACTCCCACATCTTCCAAGCAATTCCCTGCTATCATGTTATTGTTTTCACACCTTGCCTCCCAATGCACAGCCTGTGCTCTCCAACCAAATACAAAAGAGGCTGATGGGATAAAGAAAAGAGGACTAAAAGCATTCTTTGGTCACCTAGTTTCTTGGATATATGCCAGTACAGTTTATCTTCAGGAATGATTTAACACCCTGATTCAACAAAGTTTCTACAACTACTGCCTTGTACTATGGATGCCTTTTAAAGCACCAAGAATTTTGGGATGGATTTAGCGATTACATGGGAGGATGATAATTGAGGTTTGAAATTCCAGTTTCAGAATTTGCTTTTTATGAGTACTTTTACTATTCATGTAACACTCACTGTATTTCCTGATGATTCTCATCAGGAAATCCATTAGCAAAGGTGGCATTATGAAGAAAACAGAAAGAAGTGTGGAGTTAGTGTTAATGCCACCTGAGATTTTAATGAGTATTTTAGAATATTTTTCAATAAATAACTCACGGTTAACATTCGAATTTTAGCTCATGGACAGTCAGGATGAAGAAGAAATGCTTGGTTCCCATGTGTAGGAGTTGTAACAGTTTTTTTATTGTGAACTAGTATCAGTCCTATGGGGACATTCACTGTGTTGTTTATACTCACTGAAGTCACAGTTTATGGATGATTTATATTCAAAGGCTTTGAATCAAATTAGCAAATTATACACTTATTTAATCTGTGATGTTAATGAGTCATTCTGAGCAAGAAGTGTTTGAACATTTTATACATTCAAGTTTCAGTTCACTAGATTCACTGCAACAATAAAGAAAGAATGATCTTGATCATTCCAGACACTGGCAATTCTGATAACAAAAAGAATGGAAGAATGGTTTTGCAGACTTGAAAGTCTGCATTTGTTTCTTCTGACTGCTCTTACAGTCTTCAGATGGATGGTTTTATTCCTGACCTGTAGTTTGCTTTGGCTCACATATTATTTTTTTTTCTTAACTACAACTCTCCACATCTTTTTTAATCCTTCTCTGAGGAATTTAATTTACCCTGATTATCAACATCTCATTTACTTTCCCTCCTTTGTGTACATGTAACAGCTTCCAGTCTTCAAAATCCAGCTAGTAACTGTTGCTGTCCTCATACATGTCTCCAAGATCAAACTCTGCAGTAAGAGCATTTAGCTCTCGTATCTGCTCTCTGAACCATCTTCTTTCCTTCATTTACCATAGAGTGGTTCTCATCTGCCTTTGGTCTTCTTTCTATCATCCTTCTGGCCTCACTACTTCCTTTCCACTGTACCAGTGTGTCAAGTTTGTTATTTCTAGGTGCTTTATTACCTTTATCTCATCCCCTACACTCACTGATTATTCCAGTTCCCTGCTGTTCACTTACTTTCCTTGATCTCCTTTCCAGTCTCCTGTATCATGACGCTCCAATTCTTGCTCTTGTCCTTTTCTTTACAGAACAGTATTCCTTTATGGATCTGAAGCTGGCCTGATCCCTTTGGCTGCTGCATACTGCCTCCAGCAATGCTTCTCTCCCTTGCCTCTCTACACTTACTCCTTCACACATACCCCTCTCAACTTTCCTCTGGCTGCTTCCCACTGATCCACACCATCATCCCTTTTCTCTCAGATTCATCTATTGACCCCCCTACAGCTATGACCACCTCTCTGATCTTGGCCATCTCCTTGGCAGCACTTGTATTTAGTTTTTGATGAATCTGTACTTTTTGCTGGTATTTGTCCTCTGGATTTAAGTGCTCAGACAGTAAAAGCCTCAGGCACATGATCTAGGTGGTGTGCATTTCTCCTTCAGCTGATCTGCTCTCCTAATGGGTAAGTGAATGCTGACCAAAGGAAAATGTAATTCAACCCCATATCCCTGATTTCAAAATTTTCTTATCCTTTAACTTCTTTTTCTCAGCGTTACATGTGGGATCTGGCAGAAAAGAGCCCATTTTGGTCTGCCTCAGCAATTTCTTTTGTGTTTCTCATGGAACCCTCTCTTTATTTCTCACCTCTTGCTTCTCAGGTATCTCATCAGTTGTTTCTAATCAGATTGTCTTCTTTGTACTGTTGCCACTAATGAATACATTACTCACCTCTACTTTCAACATTTCCTTATCTTCAGCTTCCTCCTAGATTACCTCCAAGATGACTTAGCTCTCTCCCAGGGCTAAGGATGTGTGACATCTGGATAAATCTGGTGGAAAATACCATCATTTTGAAGATGAAAACATTCCCGTACTTTCTGTTTGTATCATGTATTGCTGAGTCTTCAGTTCTATATTCCCTCTTTATCAGCATTAGTTACTCACATCTTTTCCTATTGCCCTGCTGTCAGACTCTTAAATCTGTTTTGCTGCCTCTTTCCTTTGGCCTCAGTTATGCTTTGCCATCTATTCTACCTCACCTGAGAAAGGTTCCTGGGGGTCTCTTGTTTTCTCTTTCAGTTTCCTCCTCAAAAAAATCACAAACAAACCAACCTTTCAGGGTGTCTTTATCTTCCTTCTTTCTGCCTTTATCCAATTTGCTCACAAACAATTTCTTTCGGTTTTGGTATTGCTCAAGACAATATAACCAAACAAGGAATCTTAGGATCACTCAGCTTATGAAGTATAGTCTATACTTATGCAATGCTACCTACACTTAAGGTATAATTTTGAACATAGAATGACATGCAAACAAATATTGGTCAGCATATGTAAATATGAAGAATAATAGTACACCAGTTCTGAAACACTAATTACTAAAAATATGATAACGGCCACTGAGTTGACCAGAACCAAAATTCCCGGAGATTGTGCAAGGCCAGACAGTTCAGTTGGACAAAACAGAACAAATCACTCCTAGTGAAGCAGTATGTCCTAATCACTTTAGTCCTGCTGAGCTGTGTGGCCTTGGGGAAGCCAGATGGTTCTGTTATACAAACATCATTTAAAGTTGAATATGACCCTGACTGGAATAATGGCATTTCTGGTAAGTAGGATTGTAGGATTAAGCAGAGAACAGGATGTTCATTATAAAAAAGCAATGTAAAACACAAATCAAGACAATTTATAATCTGAGTTTTTCCAACATTTGTGTTGCAGTGAATCCAATGATTCAGTTGTTTCAATTACACCTCTTGGTCAAATTGCAATAGAATAAACATACGATCTTTTTTCTGTAACTGTAACTTGAATTTTGTTTTCATCCACAAATGTAGAGGCACAATCATACCACATGAAAGCCTGCACAGTAATTTAACATTCAATCATTTTTTTTCCCTTCACTAGTGCTTCCCATATTCTCTGAATCAGGACTCTAGCCTCAAGGCTTTCTTTTTGTTCCGTATTGGTACAGTCTCATGAGCGAAAAATTATAAATCTTTCCTTCATAGTTGTTTTTTTTTTTTTTCCCAAAAAGGAATACTCCACAGGATGATTTTTTTTTACTTGAGTCGATACAGGAGTTCTGTTTTCTTCACTGAGCTGCAAAATTCATTTCTGCATCTGCAAAATGAGGAATTGAGCAGTGTCCCATTTAGAAGGGTAGTAAATCCAGGGCATAAAAACAGTGAGACACAAGGATTCCCTGGTGGTAGGACTGTGCAAGTGTCTCAAATGACTGTGTAATAGAAGGTCATAAAGAAGTTTCAGTTCAGTGTATTTAGCTTTTAGTATCACTTTCGCAAAGAGTTTTTATTAGCCCTTGCCTTCAAGAAGATGAGGGATCTTTTATGTCTAGTCTTCAGGAAATGCTGTACTCACTTCTAATTGTATCATTTGCTTTATTCTCATTACATAAAAATGAGGGAATAAAAGGAAATGTTACCTCTTCAACAATTTGTTTCAGCTGTATCTTTATATATTTGAAGGTCTTTGCTGAAAGTCTGTAAAGGTGTAATATTTCTATCTTATTTATTAGGAATGGAAACTGAAGACTGTGCTTCTAGTTTGTATTCCAACATTACATGAAAATAATACACTTTAATTTGGAATATGCTTTCAGGGTCAACATCATGCAGCAGCATTGCTAAAGGCAATGTCTGGATTCTTTTTCATGAAGGCACAAGAGAGGGAAATTGAATGAAACATCAATTATCTGGTCTACACCTGGAGGCTCCCTGCTCTATAGAACTGTGAGAGCCTCATCTTTTCACAGTAAATACAAGTAGGGTGAATATTGGTTTTTGGTTGTTGTTTGGTTTGGTTTCTTTTTTCTCACAGGAAGACAGCTTAGAAAAAGAAATATTATTATCTAAAGCCCAAGGACAACATAAAAACTTTTCCGGACCAAAAAGACTTAATTACTTACCGTCTATCAGACAAGCTGCTGTTCTGCACTTAGCATCATGCTTCACTGTCTGACAGTACAGCTGGCTGGAGGCTGACATTGAAAATCATTTTCCTTTGCTCAATTTCCTTGTAAACAGCAAAAGAATGGTGTTGATTCACCAGACTTCACTGGGAAAGTGCATTGTGAAGATGTGAGATCTGTCTCCAGTGGTTTTAAAAAGAGGAATGTGATTTGGCTCCTACAGAGCTACATCAGGACACCTTCAACTTAGGCTTCATTTAGTCTTTGCTATGATAGACTCCCACTGATCTATGCTGCACCAATCATAAACAACGAAGAATACTAAGTCAAGAAAAAGAAAAAATGGTCATGTTGTGAAACCACTTAGAAAAGCTAAGTGAGCTATTGTTAATAGGCACTTTGTGAAATATTCAGTGCAACAAAGAAATCTTGGCCTATTTCCACTTCTATTGATATTAATGTCAATTTTACACAATCTGTAAATGTATGTATGGCTTTGTAGGGTATGTCAATATTAGAACTGAATATGCATTCTTGCATTTTATTGAGAAACGTGGTGAATTCTGCTTTTCCTCAGTTTGCAACTGAGCAGAGATATGACAGTTTTATTGATTTATTTGGAATTCAGGTTAATTCTATCAGCACTTAATGCAAATATGTTTCATAGTATTATTTCTGATAGATTATTTGGCTCTCACAGTACTCAGGTGACCAGCCCCTTCATTTTCATTAGTATTGAGTTGCACAAATGGTACAAAAGCAAGTAAAAGTGTACTTTTTGGAAGTGGGATTCATGCTGCTTTAGTAAGTATTATGTTTTACTAGTGTTTATTATACTGTTTATAGTTTTAAGGTCCAGCTTTGCTTCCTTTGAAGTCAAATGTGAAACTCCTTTTGCTTTCAGGGTAAGCTGAATTGGACCAATAAATCAGTGTATTTTCTCCATGTAGCCTTGAATTTATTAAGATCTATTACTTAATCAAAAGAAGAGTCATCTACTAACTGGTATAAGTCTGTTCAGAGGCTGATTTAGCACAGGTCTGGTAACTGAGAAGACATCTGCAAAGCTCTTACAAAACAGCTTTCTGGAGTAGACTAAAGCACAGTACTGCTTGAGTTTCTTCAGATGGTTACTCAATCTGCTGCACTGCGGTTGTGCTGATTGCAGTATTATATACATTCTATAGGATGTGCTCTACAAGCTGTGCTCAAACTTTCCAGGCCCTCAAAGGCAACTGTGTGGAGAGGTTAACAAAGTTTTCACAAAGGCAACTATTTTCACATATATTGATGACTTACTCACAGACTTCATTTAATATACAAGTAAATGTCTTCATAAATATTCATAAATGTTCCAGAAATGCCAAGAATGGTCCAAGAAGGAAAGGGAATGTCTAGAGAAATGCTTTTAATAATGGTACAGCTCAAATGTACAGCAAGTTTTTTCTATATCAAGCAGCCCAGTGTTTGCATGAATCTTTTACTGGGTCAGAAGGCTATAAATAAAATGTCACATCTTAGCATTTAATAAAAACCACAGCATGGTCACTTTATCACTGCAGCCTTGATGTAAGAGAAACTCACAGGTATTTCTGAAATAAAGTTTTGAAGTAGTTATGGGAAATGGACTTAGGAAAAAAGTGTCCATAAGTTTTGCGAGATCAGGTCTTAATCAAAATGACTGGACTGTTAGGATGCAGTTTCCCGCATGTATGTCAGATCAGGACTGTGATTTCACTGTAAAGTACATGAATTGCTGTGTTTAGAACCTGTGTTTCCTTACACCTGTGGACATTCTTTACTCTCAAAGACAGAAAGTCTGCAGACATATGAGGGATAACTGAATTCTGATCTGCATGTTTAAAAAATCCTTGAGTATCCATAGTGCATCAGCACAAAATCTGAAATAAAACACTTCCAGAACAAGAATCCAAATGTAGCTCAGTGTAAAAGCACAATGTAAATCCTTTTAAAGCAAATGCACATTCTAAAGAAATTCTCTGATCTGTAGTCATTTTCAGTGGCATGTTTCTCAAACAGAAACAGCTGCTTGAATTTACCAGCTATGAAGCTGGTATTGAGAAGAGTAAGTGAATAGTAAACAATAACTAAACTATTGATGTTTAGAGAGTGGCAATTAAAAGCTTATGTGAATTTTACCTAAAAAGAGAACTAACTTCTTTCATTGAAGCATTTTTTAATCTAAATTAAAATGAAATCATCTTTTATATATTAAGGACTTGTCTTTGCTGCAAAAATAACCTATGTATTTCTCTTAATTTGAATTCCATCCACAAACAAAGCTCTTCCATTCAATGTGGTAATATTCTTGCACACAAGTTAACTAGCCCATTGGGAGATATAAGCTACAGCTCCAGAGGGGATGCCACTAATCCATTCACGATTTATAGTGTCTCTTCAGAGCTGTGGCTTCTTGTGCTCTAGCTAAACTAACTTAAGAAGCATTAAACTCAAATATAACACTTTAGGATTACTAGGGGGAGAGGTGGAGAAAGGACATGTGGCTCCCTGATGACACTTGCTCTGGTCAGAGGAGTTGCTGTCGCCGTGTGTCCCATCTCCTTCTCGTGTCATAGCTTTGTCAGTAAATCTGCTTAATTCTTCCAAACTACTCTCCGGGCTCTCTAGTGTGTTGGCTGGACTTTATTCAGATGTTCACATATGGGTATCAGGATTTGAGACGCCCAGGATACTGGAAACAACCACAAGGTCACAGATAGAGCTCAAAGACCAACAGGTACCACCCAGAGCCTGAGATACTCGTGCTCTTCAGGAAGGCAGCCAGAGGTGAGGTAGGTACCCTTAGGACTTCTCAAATGGCATCTGGTGCTTGTGTCTAAGCAACTGAATTAAGCCTTTCTTCTCTGCTGATGACAATGGGAGCTTGGATGCTTTGATTTAGAAATCCAGACATTTTGATCTGTGGTTGACTCCTACCCTGACTGAGGTATCCCTTTCAACTGCCTCAGCAAGATTTGCTGGAGCTCATTTGTCAAATCTCTCAGATGTCTGAACAGATGGCTTAGCAGTTTTAAGCACAGACTATGGTAAAAATTACAATGATAATATGATTTTATTTTACTGTGTTATAATATTAGAGCATTTTGATTATTTCAAGTGATTAATAAGTATTAAATTCCAAGAATTGCTGAGGCTGTCCAGGCAGATCACCTGAATAATGCAGGCAGCAGCATAGCTGCTGCCTCAGCTTATTGCTATCGGATGGTGACCACTACTGTGATCAGGTCTGATGGCTCACGAGCCTTTAAAAGAAATCAAGTATTCTTCTACATATTTTCCCACATTATCAAGAGACACAATTAGTTTGTCCTGTTGCCCTCCACTTCTGTACACCTACCCAGCTTAATTGCAGGGGCAAGGTCTCTTCTGAAGTGTTGGTGGCCAAGTCCTGCTGTGGTGGTTTCAGATGCTATTGCCCCCAGTCTGGGATATCTGCTGGGCTGATATCCCTGTACCTGCAGAGGAGAATGTATGCTTGGATCTTCAGGTCACACTTTGTTATGGACCCTCACCTTTAGTGGTTCCAAAATTACTTTTGTTTTGAAGTAACTTTGCAATTATGAGGCCTCAGATACTTGTATACACAGATCCCAGGAGGCTGGGGATTAACGTATCTCTGGGTACTGTTTAAGCTACAAGGAAAGGTGACACATTTAAGTTTCATGGTGAATCACAAAGATTTGCATGAGATTCCTCTTCCAGCACAAGGCACAGGTGTCCGAAAACCACAAAAGACTGTGAGTGGCCTCTTAAGTGGTGAACCTCATTTTCCCTGGAAATGCCCCTGAACAACAGCTGTGGAAGTCCCCAAGGATAAGAGCCAGCAACACCTGCTCAGTGACAGCAGACACAAGAGTTTAACAATTCGCTGACAATTTGCAAATGCAGGATGAATTCACAGCAAGTCTGTTTCCAGGCTTTTGTAGTTCAAATGAAACATTTCACACGTCTCTAGGAATTGCCCCCTGATAAAAAAAGGGTGAGGCATTTGGAAGCCAGTATAAAGAATGTGATAAATAGCAATTAAAATAAAATGACAGAAAAGATAAAATCAGAATTTGTTTTTCTTGTTTTAAAAGGAGTTTGGAAATCATATTCCACTGAGGTCTAGATTACATAGCTTTTCTGAAGTTATTTATTTGTGACTGTGTGGACATTCGTGAGACTTATTTCTGTTGTGGAATGATTGGAGAATGTGACCTATACGGTAGAAAAGGACAAGAAAGTTAAAGGTTTTTTTTTTTTTTTTTTTTTTTTTTTTTTTTTTTTTTTTTTTTTTTTTTTTTTTTTCAGAAAGAAGAAATACAGATTCTTAGGTACTCACATGGTAGATCTAATGGAGGAAAAGAATTCCTGGAAAACAGTCCACAACAGAAAACAAAACTGCACTTGCTCACTTTTGTTTTCTGAACTTGCACAAAAAAGCCATGGAGAATAAAGTGTAACTTAAAGATGCAGAGGGAAATTAAAGTGATGCCAATACCTTTTGAATCTCTGCAAATTGAAGCAGTTTTTTTTCTTCAAGGAAAGGCTTAGAAATAAAGGCATGTATTGACATATGTATTTATCATCTTGTATCTTATTATGGACTAAGGAAAACTTAGGAGCTCCATACCAGTGCTAACGTCAGAACATTCTCTTTGAGCTCAAGCAGTAGAGATCTCTGAATCTCAAACTAAATGTCCTGGGCTCTATTCCCATTTTTAATTTGCTGACAATGTCTCATTTATGAAAAAGGGGCCATTTTCCATTCTTTCAAAAAGTGACTGAGACTGAATTACTCAGAATAACCTTTTTTCAGCCCTTCTTGTTTAGAAAAACAATTATCAACATGCTAGAGGTTCTCAATATGCACTAAAAATGAAAGAATATAAGGGATTCTATTGGACAAAATGGTGTAGATGCCATACAGAAAAAATTTGTTATTGACTAATTATTTATAAAATGTGTAAGTAATAATCATTTAACTGGTAGGCAGCAGCAGAACTATGCAGTCTAGAGCTGGTTGTGACATCCAAGAAGATAAATGAGCTACAATATTTAGATTAAACAAAAAAGAACCATTATAATAATATACACAAGGAGCAAAGTACCGCATTTTCTAGTTAATGCCAAGACTGAATTTCACAATGAACTGTTTGTGAAACATTAAAAGTATAATTTAGCATATCTGAATAAATTATTTTCTACTATGTAGTAAAAACAGAGAAACACATGGCATAGATTATAGCCCCAAATGCTTTAAAATTCTTGGAGTGGAGGCTGCCTGGCAACTTTTGTACCAGCTGGAAGAGCGAGGACCCAGCTGGCTTGGCAGCAGCCACCATATTGTGCCTTGGCTGGCAGATGGCCATCTGACACTCTTCAAGGGTCTGTGTTCCTCCTGTCTGCATGTCTGCAGCACCGACAGCCCAAGACCGCATTTAGGAGGAGTGGGCAGATCATTCCCAGGAGCGTCAATCATGTTGGCGCATGACAGCAGGGTGTGAAAGACGTAAGGGATTGACCATTCCTGAAAAAGGCTTAATGATGTTGCTGGTTGAAGCATGAGAGAAGGTTTTTGGGTACTTCAGCATCGAAATTTCCATCTTGGGATTGTGAAGGGGTGAGGAGAATTCAAGGGCTGGTGCTACTGTGAGGGAAGGGGGAAATGCCAAAATTCACGCAATTTTTTTCAACTCCTTTCTCACATGAATGTAGGATGCAAACAAAGGAAACGTAATAATTTGTGTTTTAGTGCCTTCAGTCTGAGCATTACAGGACCACTAACACATCCGAAGTAAGCTCCCAACAGTCAGGCATTGATGTCAAGTTAAAGAAGTAAATGTAGTAGAGATCAAGTTGGAACAAACTCCAGTTTGGGAGGGTTGAAGGCTGTGCCCAACTTCAGGTCAAGTAGTGAAAGTAGTACACCAATAAACATCCACATTGTCTCCTCTGATCTCTTCTAGTGCAGGAGAGGCAAGTTCCAAATTAGGAAAATTGTCACCTCCAGGACTTCTGGGTCGTTCAGAGAGTAAGGTGTAAATAGAAGAATAACCCAAAATGCGTCGTCCTTTGTTAGTCAGTGAAGACATAGAGAGATCATCAACAAGACACAAGTCTTTTTGAAATGAAGCATTATTTGTTCCATGTCTCAAAATGTTTCTGCTTTTTTTGTTCTTTGTGTTCCTATGACAAACATAGGAGTTGTCCATTCTTCTCAGTGCCTCCCTAAGGCTGAACACTGTCTTCCCAGGAAATTAAAACAAACGCAATCACAGTGCACCTGCTCTGGTACCATTCTGGTAACCATTTCCCTCCAGCTCCTCCCCATGCAGCACAGACAGCAGTGGCTGAGAGATGCGTGTCTTTTCATGGCCATGGGTGGGAACTGGCAGAGCAGTGAACAAACCTGTAGTCAATGGGGATTTAATTCCACCTAGTGGGGTGGTGGCAGAAGATTGCCACATGTCCCTTCTTACACAGGATGTGTCTCTTCCAAGCAGCCCCATTTGCAGTCCATGCTGCTTCAGGGGAAGACACAGACCATAGGAAGGTAGAGCTCTGTAGTATAGCTGGTGAAAGTTTTTGTGCTTTGATCTTCAGGAGGAGTGTCATCAGTCTTCAGGAGGAGTGAGGAGAGCTCAAAACCTCCTTCTCCTCCCACAAACCCTGAACTGACGAGAGATATATGGGTCTTGTATTGCAATAGTGCCAGGCCTCTCCTACTCCATATTGCAGAGAAACTCTCCCTATTCATATGAGTGAAAGACCTGTTCAATACCTTCAGGCCAGAATGTAACACTGTGTTATCTGCTTTGAATACCTGCATAGTCCAAAACATAAGATTTCAGCACCAATTCCCACAGGAGGCAGAGTTTGCTCTCCTCTGTTTATATGAGAACATGTCCAGACCAAAATTCAGAGGTTGGATTCACTAAATTGACAATAAAATATGTTCTCAAGGATGAGTGTGCAATGCTTTCACACAGACTGAAAAACCATTTTTAAATTGGACTCACAAGTTTATTTCCATTTGACTTCTAATGATATTTAAGCACCTGTCTCTTTGAAAATAGATCTTTGACTTTTAAATCATTTTGTCACTGCTGTATCCCATCTGCTGGAGACTCTGACTCTTGTAGATTTTGGTTTACAGACATTCATGTTGACCAAATGTTTCTCACATTTGTAAGACTTTTCTTGCTGAATGGCTTCAAAATTGTAATGAACACATACATCAGGTCCTTTGCATAGTTAGGAAGACTTATATGAGCTTGGTTCTGGTAAGCATACTACAAGAATCTTGAAAGTTCCAGACTAACCATCACGGAATAGTTTCAGAGCACTGAAATCATGTGCCCTTCTATTCCAGGACTTGGCCTGTGGCAGCAAGGCCACCAAGAGTCAGGGTTTGTTGCTGTAGGTGCTGATGCAAACTAGGATGTCCAAATGGCTTTTGGACCCCAGCTGGTTTGTGTCCTGCCATTGGACATGGAGGTCTGTGTTTTGCATCAGATTAGTCTGATCAGTGGCCTAAAGTTATGATAAGCCGCAGATTAGTGAGTGTAGAATAATGGCAATCAGTTCTCTTTTTAAAGGAATACACAGAGTTGCACTGACTTTTTACCAGACAAGTATCTCTGACTTATCTGGAAGCGGTCCTGCTTTACCTCTGTGTGATCATTGAATTAGTTTTTATCCTTGTTTAAGTGCTGTATCTTAATATCTACCACATGGATCTGTTGCACTTTCCCATGTTAGCTGAGGCATATCACACTGTGCTCATAATGAAGTCAATGGGAGATTTGCCTTGGAATTAAAAAAGAAAAAAGAAAAGAACTGGGCACCATGTAAAGTAAACAGTAATGTAAGCTTCTTTAATTCCCACTGCATTGTATCATAATTAAAATATTTTCTTTTAAATTGAAAGTTGTAGCAATTCAGATATAAGTTTCATCTGAGGTTCAGTGGTAAGTTTCTGTCTCATGTTATTTCTGAATTATTGAGGTGTGAAAGAAGAATTTGGCCTTGATATTTGAATTTACTACTAAGTCCAAAATGCAAAAAATCTGATATATCTGGCATTTTCTGGATTATGTTGAAGTGTGGGGGGACTGCTGTGCTACTTTGGTCTCCATTTCTATAGTAAAGTCACTGCATATGTGTCATTTATATGTATTTATTAAAGTATTTTTCCCAAATTGTGGATTATGAGCCTCCCTCACTGAGACCCTGCAAGGATCCATCAGGAGTTGTGGGGAGTAGTCAGGAGCATCCTCAACCCTTCAAGGCTGACAGTGAGAAAGGCTGTAATAACAGATGAATGTCTGCAAAGGTCAGGGAACAGCTGTCTGCATTAATTGTGCATTTCACCCATTCCTTCAACAACGGGAAGTCAATGCGAACACTTTCAGCCAGTGAGTACTGTTTTTTCTTTCTTTCCAACTTAGACCAGGAGCAGGGAAAAAAAAGCAGATAAGCCAGAGAGGATTCAGACATACACCTAGAAGAGCTTTAGAATCATAAAATGATAGAATCATTTAGGTTGTAAAAGCCCTTAGGATCATTAACCCATTAACCCAGCACTGCCATCCACCACTAAACCATGCTCCCAAGTGCCACATCTACATGTCTCTTAAATACCTCCTGGAATGGTCACTCCACCACTTTCCTGAGCAACTTGTTCCAAAGCTTAACAACCCTTTCCATTACTAAATTTTTCGTAGTATCCAATCTAAAACTCTCCTGGCACAACTTGAGGCTATTTCCTGTTGTTACCTGGAAGAGGAGACTGGCCCTACCTCGCTACATCCTGTTTTAAAGTAGTTGTAGAAAGCAATAAGATCCCCCTGAATCTCCTTTTCTCAAGGTTAAGCACCCTCAGCTCCTTGAGCTGCTCCTCATCAGACCTGGGGTCCAGACCCTTCACCCTTGCCCCTCTCTGGACAAGCTCCAGCACCTCAATGTCCCTTTTGTAGGGGCCCAGAAGTGAACACAGAATGTGAGGTGCGGCCTCACCAGTGCCAAGTACAGTGGGAGTACAGACGGTCACTGCCTTGCTCCTGCTGGCCACGCTGTTTCTATGTTGCAAAACAAATTGCGTCCTAAAGCCAAGGATCTCTCAGAGCCTTTAACTGGTTGTGTCCCAGACAGCACTCATCTGCATTTTCAGTCATCTAAATGTCCTTGAAACATGGTTGCAGGCCCAGTGCGTGGAGGGCCTGTTTCAGTAAGCAGTTGGCAGGCCATGGAAACCAGGCTGCTCTGAATACAGGCTGAGGACGTTCTGAGTCACAAAGTAGGGGATGAAGTCTTGTGGCTAAGCGTAGGTCTAGTCCTTTTGCTGACCTAATTTCATCAGTAAAACAGAAGATTTCTTTACGTGGATTGATCATTTAGGAATTTATACTCCCCCGGCTCCCACTGCACGACATATTGAACGAATCCTGCTACAAGATCCTTACCCAGTATAATATGCCTGTCAGATAAATGGCTGGCTTAAGGTGGTATTATTTTCAATTCCCTTTCCATAGGTAGCTGATCATTGGGTGTCCATGTCCTCTTTTTTGCAGGACCTGGAGCCATCTTGTTTATGGCTTTATTCTGTTATACTGCTCACAGGCCAGGCTAATTGTTTCTCCAGACAGCAGGCTCTGCTTCCACTTCTTACAGGTTTTTTTAAAAAGCAAAAGAAAGTTGGTAAATGAAAAAATACTCAGTGATATTAATGTTTGAGCAAGTTCTTATTCATGTTAAAACTTATGAAAGTTTATCTGATTCGTAAACTTGTCTTATGCATGCTTATGGGGTGTCAGGCTCACAAGTAAATCTAATGCCTTGTTTATACCATAACAAAAAAAGCTAAGATGCTTTTCTCATTGCATGACACTCTCAATTTACATGTCTACTGAGAGACTGCTTTCTGTATAAGGACAGGAACTCCTAACGCATCTAATGTAGCTTTAATGCACTAGTGCACTACAATAACAAGATCAAAAGAATTTGCACCATAATTTGCATCATTGTTTGAAATACCATCCCCTGATTTAATCATGTTTGCAACATAAACAGTTTTTTGAAATGGGCATATGTGTGCTTGACATATCCTTATTATAGAAAAAACAATAGCAAATGATTAGTTTTTTCAAAGTCTACAGAGATAAAATTCTTTAGACGTGCTACTAAGTAAAATTTTATTAATGGCTTGTTTCCCTTCGCAAAGTCTTAGGAAAATGGGTACTCCTTAATAAAAAATTTAAAAGTCCAGTTTATTTCCTAATTTTTATGCCCCATTCAAATAAGGGCTATTAATGAGGTAGCAAAGAATCCTCGAGACAGATTTCTTCCTCCACCTAACCTATAGCATGGTTTTATGAGATTGATGCCAGAATGTTTGTCAAATAACAGTTCTGTCTTAGAATCATAGAATGTTCAGGGGTTGGAATGGACCTTAAAGAACATCTAGTCTCAAACCCCTCTGACATGGGCAGGGACACCTCCCACTAAACCAGGTTGCTCAAGGCAACTGGGTTTTGAACACCGCCAGGGTTGGGGCCTCCACAATCTCCCTGGGAAACTTGTTCCAATGTCTGACCACCCTCACAGTAAAAAATATCTTCTTAATATCTAAAATAAATTTCCCCCTTTCAATTTGTACCCATTACTCCTCATCCTATCACTGCAGTTCCTGACAAAATAGAAAGAAACTGCCAGGACAGTGTGAACTTTGACTAACATGGTCTCTGCTCAGATGAAGTTGGGTAGGCTGAAAACATCTTATTCTAATCTGAGCTATAAATATGTGCTTCAGATTTGGAGCACAGGGAACTTTGGTGAGCCATGCAGAGTTAGAGCTGCCCTGTAACACTGGTGCTATGAGATCTTCAGATAAAGAGCAATCACTGAAATTACTGATGCCTTCTGAAGTAAATCCAGACAGTGAGGTACAGGCTTAACAGCTCTTTCTGGCACCTGAAATGGTGTCCTTTGGATATGCACCAAAATCTTTAGTGCGCATTGTTATCACAAAATATATGGTCAGCACAAGGAAATACAGGAATATTAAATGCTAGGTTGTCCCTTGTTCTTTCATGACTTAAGCATAAGCATCATTCTTCTTAGTTCCCCAAGAGATGCAAATCATTTAAAGGACAAGGAGGATGGTAGAGAAATAGATGAACTGCTTGTCTCGGTCCCCTCGTTGTTTGTGTTGACTGCATGCATGCAGAAGTGGGCATGACATCAGCTTAAGGACAGGTAATTCACATTTTTTCCACCTGCCAAAGAGTTCTGGAAGCTGCAGTGTTTTAGCTGCAAAACCATTACTACAAACAGGTGCTGAATAAGCACTAAAAAGAGCTTATGCTGTCACAGAAATGAGTAAGGTGAATGGTCTCTGAGGTCCTTGAGCTTACCCATTGCCTTTACAGATGGTTGAGGAGCAATTTACAGAAAGAGGGGCTGACTCAGCTGTTTGTGGTACTTCATGGTTCCTTCGCAGACATTAAATAGTATTTACCTGGGTTTTAATTTTTGTTTCACTTGAAAGGTGACCTCTGAGCTGTGAGTTTCCCAAAGTCACTGTGTTGAGTCCATACAAACCATATAAAACTTCTTCTGAGTGCAGCACCATTTCCTACGGTTACACTTTTTCCTCCTGTTCCAAAGCCTATTGTAAATAATGCGATCACAGAGATTTCCTTTTAATTCTTGTCAGAATAGAAATGAAACTTTGTTGGCAAATCAGAGATAGTAGGGGACAGCTTAGTTAAAGGAATACAGTATGTGTGTTCTGTGGTGCTGACTGCCTGACATGAGTCCTCTGTCTTGCCTGCAATTCTGCAAACATGACTATTATGTAAGAACTAACAAAATAAAGAATGAAAGCAAAAAACATTTGGTAATAACACAAGGATTTATCTTTACAAATCTAGGCTACATATACATATACATAATGGTTGGTTTTGATGATCTTAAAGGTCTGCAGGTCTATTCCGACCTAAGCAATGCTATGACTCTATATACATGTGCATGTGTAATTACATATATATGTACACATGCATTAATGAACATGATCTTATGTGTGTATGTGTATGTCCTGTCAATGTAAGTTAAAGAGGATAATCAATGCAGGCAGAAAAAAAAAACAAACAAACAAAACCAACAAACCAAAAAACCAAGAAAGAAACACAAGATTGGCATTATGACAATATGAACAGGAGTTTCATGATAACTAGCTTCGTGATAGTTGGTATCTGATGAATACTGTTTGAGAATTACTTTGCTGGAAAGCCATTGAGGGAAGCCAGCCAGATATTAGGTAACTTAAGACTGCTCGGGAAATCAAAACAAAGTTACAGGGCCATTAGCTCAGTGTTATGCTTTTGGTGGGAGAAAGGACTGTGGAGAAGGGGCCTTCAAGCCTCCCAAGTGGATTTTTTTCCTCCCTCATCAATTCCAGTGGGGACATGTTTTTTGGAAAGAGTGCTATCACACACTCCCCGACAGAGAAGTAGAGGCATTTAACCTGCCGTGCCCATCTGGCCATCTTGTTACCCACTGTAAGTCTCTGTGGGGCCTCTTCTGCAGAGGATGGGCATGGCTGTGCCACCCCTGTCACTGATGGAATTGGGGACTGGAGTGACCACCTCTATCTCCACTCCTTTGTCAGCCACTAGAGGGCACAGAAGCTCAGGACTTGGGCTCCCCTCATCCTCCTAAAGAAGTGCACAAAGAAGCCGTCCAGGGAGAGGCAGGCGTTTCTCTCCAGCTGCATATCCAGCTTTCGGTCATCCCAGCTTCTCCTTCCATCTTTGGCTTCCCCCTGAGACATGCTTCTTCTGCTGGTGCTCGTGTAACACTTCCAAACTGCTGCAGACGTTAAGCTACAAAACCACGTTAAGGGACAGACTGGCTGCCAGGAGTAGCACGTTGGCCACTTTGGCTCTCGGTGGGAGGGTTTTGCCAGCTGAGCTGAAATTCCAGCTGTGCTGGCTTTCGGCATGCCGCGTCTGTAAACATCTCCACATTCTTTTGGGGTTGAAAGTAGGCTAGTGATACAGCAGGGAGTTTGTCTTTAAACCAGCTGATGGATTACCTCTGCTGTTCCAGGGCTTTGGTACCTGGTGGCATTTCCCCTTGCAGAGGTTCACGTGTTGTATAGTGCAGAGCAAAGCCTGTCTGCTTGCAATCCCAGTGCCTTGCACAGTTTAAAGTGCCACAGTGATTGCAAAAGGCTGAAAAGATGGGAACCAGGGGACTTCAGACATTATTAGAAACAGTCATTATAAAAAGTAGTTTTTGTGGTTTCAGGGTGATTATTTGAGATGTACTGTATTTGTTAACACTGCTAGGTTTTCCCTGGTATTCCTAGAGCATTCAGTCAAGTTACGCCAAACGAAGAGAAACCTTTGTCAGCCCAAATCTGAGCACTCAGGAATTTTGCAGAAATTGCAGGTCCAGTTCTGTTATGTGGAGTAAACCTATTTAATGGAGCAGTTTAATGCTGCTGAGACATCTAGCAGCAGCAAAATACTGATACACAAGGCTCTGGCTTTGTTTGAGCAACTCTAATTCCTCTTTTTTTCATTGAAACATTAGAGGTTTGCCTGCATGGGCATTTTATAATTCTACAAACTCTTGTTTTGTTATAAAAATGTGACCGGTGAAGTGTTGGAGACTTACGCTACAGTAATACTTGCGTGGTCACGTCTTCATTCCCACGTATTTTGGTGGTGCCCTAGCTGCCTTCCTCTTACTTTATGCCCTGTCCCAGCTAATTGCTTTAGTTAACAATGTGTTACTCCTATCTTAAATACTGATGCATTTCTCTAAGCTCAAAAGCTCCCCAAATCCACCATCCTTGCTGCCCCATGGCTGCACCAGCCTTACCATGCATACAAGGAGCAGCAGGAAGATATCCTGAGATGGGATCCAGGGTGGGACAGCGGAGATGAGAAAGAACTGACTGTAGGACTTGTGTTGCCTGAGTAAAGAGCAGCATGTTCCCAGTATTTTGGCACAGACACTCTGATTTAACTCTTCAAAGTAAAATGCAATGGCTTTCACCTGTTTTCTGCCACATATCTTCTGGTACAGCATTGAGATGGTGTCACCATGCACAAAGGAGAGGATGGCCTACCCTTGGGGCTGAACCTGGTGGAAATCAACACCACATGGAAGCAGGGGCTTCCTCTGAAGGAAAAAACAACTGTGCTTCTGGGTACAGGCAAAGCATGCTAGTTAGCAAAAAGGAATCACAACAGTAAAATGTCATTTAGATATAAATCTTGCACAGCAGCCCTGCTGTCTCTGACCCACAGACACACAAAGGCTTTTTGAGATTTGCACGATCATTTAGCATGTACCTTGTCAAGTGCCAGGGTTTCTCATTTACTCTGCATAACACCTTTTGGTCAATCACCCAACAAAGGTACCAATCTCAAGAAGCTCACTTTGAGAATAAATGTGAGGAATCATTAGAAGAGGCTCTCTGTGGTTAAGAATCCTCTAGGCTGA